AAAATAATACTGCTTTGATGATGGCAACATTAAATCTAATTTGGAACACCATCTCGCAACTAGTATGCATTCATGTTAGACAGACAGCACATACTTGCATATGTATTTCAAAAGAAGTTAACAAATAACAACAATGTTGGAAGAACCGCACAAAACAACTTATTTTTATATTGCGCAATTTTCTTTTAACAATTAGCACCTTAAGATTTAAAAACATTAACAGGTATCAACCGAAATTGTTATACCTTAAAAAGTGTCTTCCAATACAAATCAGAGGATGGTGCATGAAAATACAGAAGCTAGAATATTGAAATTCTGCATGAAGGTTAAACTTGGTGCGTCGGCGGGTGATAAGTCTGGGCTTTTGGGAATTCGCACTAAAAGGATACGAATAGTACTAAAATGTACTAAAAATTGAATACATTGTATTGAAAAAAAAAAAATGAGCTAGAATTCTGAAGTTTTGGAATAATTTCACTGATACAGTGCAGGATAGATATACCAAGGCGTTTTAGGAAATACGAAATTTTATGTTGCAACAAGTTCTAAAATGGTACCAATTGGTATTGTGTGATAAAGAGGTGGTCTTGGGAATGTGTGTAGTACATAGTGCACGAAAAATACTAAAAAGTGCTACATTTCTTACATTGAAATTTGGTATTAGGGTCGCTATTTATACAGAGTGAGATAAAAAAACTGCAACAAAGTCAAACTCCATCATTTTTAAATTTTTTTAATTTTGATGATTGAAAGCAAAAAATGTCAGAAATAGCATCAAATTTTAGAATAAGTTTAGATTTGTTCGAATTGGTCACCTGTGGCACGAACTAATTGGCCTTCAAACGGCCAATGAAACAGTCGCACGCTGCCCGAATGTTGCTCTGCGGTATTTTGACCCGGTATATTTCCCGGCGAAGCGCTTGCTTGATGTGAACGACAATTTGGTATTTTTTAGTGCCAACCTTGCTTTCTAGACACAATAGTCCAAGGGATTGGTATCCGGAGATTTTGGTGACCATTATGCGCTGGAAATAAAGCGAGGAACCTCATTTTGTAACCATTCTTAGGTGGCGCGTGCTGAGTGCTGTTGGAATGTCCAAGGTCTGCGGCCAAAATGTTTGCGTGCCCAAGGCTTTAATGCACCCTCCAGAATATTTTCGCTGTAATATTCGGCATTTATTCTGATGGCGCGGTCGATTAATACGAGCGGAGAGCGACCATGGGCTGTTATTGCGGCCCACACCATCACCATGGCCGGCGCTTGAGTTCGGGTGGCCAACCGAAGGTGCATATTTTAAGCTGACCTCTTCGGCAAGTAAACACGATCATTTTGTTTGTTTACAAACTGCTGGACAACGAATGTTTTCTCATTGGAGAAAACCAAATTCGGCAGTTCACCACTTTCATACCAGCGAATCAACTCTTTAGCTCTTTTGAGTCTATTTTCTTTCTGTTGCGGTGTAAGTTCTTGCACTTTTTAGAATTTCAGTGGCTTTACCCCGAGCTCATTTTTCAATATTTGAAAAATGGAATATTGCGATATGTTCAGCTCATGAGCCATTTTTGATCACTGCGCCGCGGGATTCGATCAAGTCACTTCTTTGCTTTTTGAACCATTTCTGCTGATGTTGCTGTTTTCTTCCGTCCACTTCCTTGACGTCGTGCTACGCTACAAGTGTCACGGTAAATGCTGGAGTGCTCTAACTATGGCCACTTGTGGTTTTCCAGCCACTTGTGGTTTTCTCACCAAAATGCTTTTGTACGCTCGTAAACAATATAATGATCTGTCACTGGAACGGACGAGTGGCTTAGAAATGACAGCAGTGTGAAGTTGGTTGCAGTTTTTTCATTTCACCCTGTATGTACCAAAGGATTGTAGGAAATTCGAACTTAAAACTAAAATTCGAACTGGTACTAAGATTTTAAAATGGTACAATTTGGTGTTATGCGAATGGATAAAGCTAAAAACGTTGGTATGAGAATTAAGGTTGGAAAGTAAGTTTCATATATGAAGGAGGTTTTGAAAATTTGTGCTGAGTGTGCAAACTACACTAAATTTAGAACAGTTTGGTTTAGGTTGAAGGGATGAAGGTGGGATTTTAAATTTTGGTCACTGTTCATGTGTAGTCGGTGTAGACTGCGGGCAATTTCGGAAATGTAAGAGAATTACTAAATGGTACTATATTTAGTATTACGTGAAGGGATAGAGATAACATTCCGAAATTTATAAATTAGATTACTGATGGTATCTGTATTTGAGATTTGGCGGGGATTTGGAAATGTGTTCTATATTTGTACGAAAAGTACTAACTGGTACTAAATTTGGCATTGAGTGAAGAGAGAGTGCTGGAGTCTCGAAATTTCACATCCAGTTCTCCGTTGGTATACGGAATTGAGATATGGAGGCGGTTTTGAAAATGTGTACTATAATTGGACCAAAAGTACTGAATGGTAATACATTTGGTATTGGGTGAAGGCATATAGATAAAATTCTGAAATTCGATATTTAGATAACTGATCGTATCTGCATCGTTCTATATTTGTACGAAATGTACTAAATGGTATTTAATTTGATATTGAAGGGATAGGCCTGGAATTCTCAAAATTTCATACTAATATCTCTGTTGGTATCTGAGGTTTGGATATGGAGATTGTTTTGAAAATCTATACTACAATTGTTCGAAAAGTACTTAATACTACTAAATTTGGTATTGGGTAAAGGAATAGAGCTGGAATCTGGAAATTTGACATGGATATGACTTTTGGTGTCTATAGTTGAGAGAAGGAACTGGTTTTGGATATGCGTACTATAATTAAACTAAATGGTACAAAATTTTGTAATGGAGGAAATTACAGAGCTGATATTCCGCATTAGATGTTAATGTCACTGTTGATTTCCCTAAATATGGATACATATGGTGACGTTAAAATAGTTTTGGACAGAAAAATTGGATGTAGGTCCATTGTGGAACGGTTTTACTAATATTTTCTTCGTTAAGCTTCAAGATGAAGATCTAGAAAACTTACTGGTGCTAAAAATACTACAATTACTAAAAAACACAAAATTTGGTGTTATAAAACGTTTTTTTTGACTGGTCAAGGAAATAACAAAAGGGAGTAGGTTAATCGAGTATAAATAATGCTATTTTACAAATAAGCCAGCCATTGAAAAAGTTCTTTATGTACTTCCATCTTTAAGTTTGGGAAGTATAGTAGTTATAAGAAGGGGATTTTGGATATTTGAGCTAAGTGTAACAACAATACTTGGTGCGCAGGGTTAAAATAAAAAGATGGTTGTGGAAATGCGTGAAAAACAATTAAAAAAACAGGCTACCATCCACCCTCAAACAATTTCGGTGTGTATTGTACCCAAACTCATCAAAATACCGAATATAGGGTGGTATCGTTATATGGTTATAGGAAGAGGACGTGCGACAGCATATGTAATTTTTTTGTCATTGGCTGTAGTAGCCATTACGAAATGTTAGCCTTGTATCTTCATTCGTTCGAAAGATAGCGTGATTACGACAGACAGACAGACAAAGACATTATATACATAAATCCAACGGATTCCAAGGAATCTGAATCCGAAAATTTCAAAAGGTTATGGTTAGGTTATTTTGCGATGTAAAATTTCTAAACTCCGATACACCTGTCTTCTATTTTTATACTCTCCACTATATATAGTATGGAGGGTATGTTTATATAGGTCCACGATATCGGATATCCCACATATTACGGTACCTCCCTACATTCGGTATTTTAATGATTTTAGCTAAATTTTTCAATGGAATTGTCTAAAAATCCATACTAGAAGTTCTTTCTAAGCACTTTACCCCTGGAAGAGAGATGTCTATATGGGTCCACGATATCGTATAGCCCACATACAACGGTACCCCCCAATATTCGATATTTTGACGATTTAGGGATATTATTCACCGGAATTGTTTCAAATATCGTATTACAGTTCGTAATGGGTTCTGCAGCTTATGACAATAAAATTGTGTATGCAAGCCTATGTCTTCGTAAAGCCTCCATATAACGGAACCTCCCAATACTCGGTAATTTGATGATTTTAACTACACTAGTCACCGGAGTTGTTGCAAATTTCATACAATATTCACCGAAATTGTTTGAAATTTCGAATTTGAAGTTCTTAATAGGTAATACAGCCTGTGACAGAAAATTGTATATGCAGGACTGCGTATAGCCTGATACAACGGTACCTCCCAATACTCGGTATTTTGATGATTTTTAGCTACATTATTCACCGGAGTAGTTTCAAATTACATATTTAAAGTTCGTAATGTGAACAACAGTCTATGACCGAAAATTGTCTATGCAGGTCCAGGTCTGCGTACAGACCCCAATATAACAGCTATATTCGGTATTTTTAAGATTTTAACAGAATTTTTAATTTATTTTACTTTTTTGGAAATTTCCAAATGCGTTCCACATGGTGGAGCGTAGTCAAAGTTCGGCCCGGGCGAACTTACTGCTTTTTTAACTTGCTTTCTCTATTTTTTTTCTAATAATCTGCTGAATTTTTCCTTAATTTTTTTTTGTGTTGCACAGTGTAATTTTTGGAATGATTTTATAATGTTTAAAGCTCTTTTTATCTATGCGGTCAAAGACTGAGGGCCAAACCGGCGTCCTTCCATATTTTTTCGGTCTACTCAAAACATATAAGATGATTCATTTTCTCAAAACAATCAAGCATGATGCGGATACTATCAATAATTATATAATTATTATTTACATAAACAACTTAATCTTGCTCTAAAATAGCTTTCCAATGTTATTTTTTGGTTAAATGGCCTCCTGGCAAATTTGTACATTCAGCGTCAATGTATCTTTAGCTCACTTATCTCTTTATGTGGAGTAGAACCTTGATTTTATGCAATTCCGATTTTTCGCCATACACATTTAAATTGAACGGGTTTCATTTATCCACAGTCGACTGTAAATATTCAAATTTTGGCATAATGCCTGTTACGTACCCGCTATCCACCTTAGAAACACAAGTTGTACGGCGACATGAAGTTTGTGTGATTGAATATTTAACATAAATATCTATTTTGATTTTTTTTCAAACAATTATGTTGATATCAAATCTTATCACACCATTTATTGAATTTAATTGAAATATAATTATTTAAATCTTTTTTAACTTTTTTAACCAAAAATCCACAAGATAACAGGTGGGGGTTTTCTTGACAATGACACTTATTTCACTTGTTTTCTTGTTTGTTTTGAATTAATTCTTAATTCTTGATATAATTAAACACGACATGATACACACACACACATTCCAACGAACCGAAAGAACTACTACGTAATATAAGGCGAAATGGAATGAGCCACTCGTATTTATTGGTTAACAAAAAAAAAAAACATTTAATGTGTTTGTTTCGTTTTGTTTTATTAATTTTTACCATCAGCAAACAAGCGTCACACCGCCGTCCGTACCGTACCCGATTATGGCTTGCTGCATACTTAACTGTCACTGCTTAAAAGTCATCGTTCAGAGGCGATGACGGTTATAATATCTGTGTGTATTTTTGTTTTTGTTTTTTTGTTAGGTATGTTTAGTGGCTGAGTGGCGGCATTGTTGTTGTGGATATTTGTTTTTTGGTTTTCGGGGAGATAACTTAAGCACTTTGGATAGCACATTCAACCGTACAGGCATAAAAACATAGAGTTCGGAACCAAGATTCACATACAGGCACAGAAAACACCACATCCATCAGGGCTTTTAGACGTTCATATATACATACGTACATACGTTAATGCGCCAACATCGCCAACTTCGACACTGCGCTTCTACCAACGGCAAACAAAACGACAACACAATACAAATTAACGATGAGCTGCAATATATTGGTATGTGAATAACAGCAACAACAACAACAAAACACACATGGACGAGCCCGTCCGTATGTAAAGATACGTTGTATGTCTGTATGTATGTGAGTCTATACATAGGTGTATATACAATCATTAAATATTCGTAAATTGTACGCATGCGCACATTTTAGTTCTTCACCTCTACGAAAATATATGTACAGTGGCCCCATTTGATTATTGGATAAATATTTTATTGGCTCAGAAAGGTATTATATTAACTACTTATTCGTTAAATAAAATATTCGCACAAACCTTGTTAAATTTTTATATCCTGCAACACTATCTATTATGGGTATTATAGGTTTGATTTGGCCAAAAATTATGTAGCACCTCGAAATGATGGTGATGCACATAGGATGTTACATATAGATCTTCCTATCTCACTAAGCTGAGTCTGTCAAGCTATGCTATCAAGCTAGCATGGGGCTAGAGTTTAGGGCTGGGCAGGACATATCAACGTTGTTATTCAGTTTGCAACTCCAAGAAATACTCATGATAGACCCTACAAAGCATATAGCCTAAGACAAACATTTTTCAAGTTCCTTCCAAATAATGGAGGGTATTAAAAAAAAATTGATTTACAATATTGAATTTTACATTTTGTAAAATTTTTTCACCTTACAATACTATATGTTGGCCCATTATATCCAGGTCGCAATTATAGTCAGATCTTCACGAAATTTTGCATGGGGGTAGGGTTAGAGGCAGAATTGAAATGTATTGTCCTGGAAGAGTATATTTAGGTGCTCAATTTGACAAAAAATAATTTTCCTGATTTGCAGTCGTCGACAAAGAAATTTTGCATGAGTTTAAAGTTTTGGACAGGGCAGAAGCCTTGCATTTTGGATAACCATTGGATAATATTTAGCGGTCCACAACTTTTTTGTGAAATTGTTTTGAATACCTATCAGAAGTGGTACCCATAACGAACTCAATTTTAAAAAATACCGTCGAAAATGTGACAATGATTTATAAATACTGAATATCCTTAGGAATGTGAGCCTATATAAATAATTTCTATCAGAGAAGACGTAGTCCAAATACCAAAATCCCGGTGAAAAGTGTTATACAAACCATCAAAATACCAAACACCATTTGACACCGTGATATAGGGTCTATACCAAAACTTAGACTTATATAGTTCCCTCAAAGGATGTTACTTATATACTGGAAACACAAGCTGCCAATTTACAGCAAATTCGTGTTAAAATTGTGACTTACGCAACCAAAATAGCCTAAATCTGACAGTACAGTTATATGGGGGCCTTACCAAAACGTGGGCATGTATGGCGTATCTGAGTAAAATTTTGGCCAACCTACTTCATTCCGTTCGCTAGAGTGATTTTCACAGGTGGACATGAAAAATAGACAGACGGACGGACATGGCTAAATCGACATTAAATCTTCTGGTGTTTGAAATGTCTAGTTCGAGCAGTTACAAATGTAATGACAAACCTAATATACCCACCATAGAGAGATTTTCACTTGCGTTGTAATTATTCAAACTGTTGAATTTTTATGGGTGAGACTCCAAAAGGAGAGGGATAATATTATCCATTTCACATCTGACCTAAGTCTGATATTAAAATAATAATATGACAACGTGCCAGGTTTAGCATATATCGACTACTTCCTGTACTTTATGTCTATATACTATATGAGATAAGTGATAATTTTTTGAAAATTTTGAAAAGTGCGAGAGTTACTAGATGTAGGGGACCAAAGTATCCTACTTAATCTAATACTGATAGAGGTATTGGGATGTGAAAATTTAAGGAAAATCTAATATTTACTTCCAATTATATGAGAATATTTAATCAAAGTTTTGACATCGTGTAGGAGAAGCTACGAGAAGTGAAGCAGTGAGACAAGAAAGAGAAACATTTACATATACCAAGCTTAAAATGTTTAAAAGATTTAGACTTGGTAGAAATATTGAGATTCACGAAATTTGAAGGCAATCGATTTTTTTTCTATTTTATTAGAGTTATAATAATTCAAAATTTTGACCGTTGGTGAGGAGGAGAAGTTGGCCAATATTGTCATTTTTCTCCTTTGACCTAGTATTAATAAAAATATTAGGATTTGAAAATTTCCACCAAATTTCTTGTTTCATAATGTAAATTATTTTCTGTAAAAATGTTGCCCCCAAAAGGATAGTAGTGGACCAACATTGCCATCTCTGAACTCGATCTAAGTTTGACAATAACATTACGATGAACCAAGTTTGGATCAAATCGGATACTACTTGCGATAGTTATAGCCTCGACAAGCTCGACATCCTGAAATGGATTTGATAGACCTAGGGTCTAAGATCGTTATTTCGATGAGGCACGCCTTGGCCGTATTATTAAACGATATATACTCTCGGTAGCCATACGGTTGAGGGTATAAAAATATTTTGAAGTGTTTTGAAATTTGAGCCAAAAAATGTGCACCGACTAATATGAATAGTTTGAAAATGGTCTATATCGTTTCATGTATAGGTAAAGGTTTCATATATCAGTGCCTATTGACCCATGAAAAATTTCGTTGATTGAGATCTGTACAGCAACTGCAAAATCAGGAAAATTTAGTGTTTTTGGTCCTCTAGGTAATTTGCGTACATTTTCAAGAGAATAGGTCAGATTAGAACCCTAACTCTGTGTAAAATTTCGTGTGGATCTGAATGAAATAGAAGCAATATGTATATAAACGTATTTTAACCTCCAATACGATAAACAATTGTTTACATTTTCGTCTTCCACTGTCACAAACACTTGATCTAAAAATGATACCAATACGCAGGAGTGCATACTCCAATTTTTATTTGTAAATGCGTTCTTATAACTTTGCTTCCATCAAGTCTTACTCGATTGTATTTTAACGCCGAGCCACTGTATACAACCAACAATAAACTCAAATCACGAACAGCACCAACACCAATGATAGACACGATAAAAGAATATTGTCATATTATCGACAATCATTATCACAAAAAAAAAAAAAACGAGAAAAGAAAAGGAAATAAAACAAAACACCAAAAATAATTAACAAAAAATCTCATTATTTTGTTGCATTCCATATTCGCAATCAACCGGTTCTTTTAATGTTCATCGTCGTGGGCTCCGTAGACATCTTCGAATAATTTGACACATAAGCCGAAAACAAAATACAATGTAAAATACTTTCACTGTGTGCCTATTTAAAATTCAACTGATTATATAATTATTTATTTATTTAAATTCAGCTTGTTTGGAATACGCTATTTTTGTTTTTGTTTCCAAAAACAAGTCATGAATCACATAATGTTTCATTTGGTTTAAGTGTGCGCCTAGTTGTATGTTATAAATTTTGTTGTTAGATAGTAGTTGTGTGGCCGTTTTTACACATTTAAATTTATATGAAAGACATTTTGACCGTTATAAACAATGATAACTGCGTGTTTAGAACTTTATAAAAATCCAACAATACTATGATATAAGCACTTATAAGTACCCAGAATTTTAAATAAATTAACGATATCAAAGTAGATTCAAACAAAGGTTTTACCTGTGAGTATGATATGATACTTATGTATTTGTAAATGTTTGTTAAAATGTTGCTAAGAAAACATGGTAGTGTTTGCTAGGGGGTTAGGCAGGGAATACCGTGGGTTCGGAAATGCACAAAATGTCAGTCCAACTTTAGTGCGTATTTGCACCCCAACCACCGCACAATTTTGCATACAGTTTAATTTATAAACAGAATAGACAGGTCTAGACAATACTGTTTTTTGTTCTTCTTTTTGTCCATTCCTCTTTTTTTTTTGTAAGAAAGGACGCATTAATAATGAAGTATATGCAGTGACCTATTTGTACTAAATGCATGTTATATAGCTACATTTTCCTTTTAAATTTTTCAAAGTTTTTGCTTTATTACGATATTGTATATTTCTGAAAACATAAATTGAATTTAATTAAAATTTCTATACCTCCAGCCGACATTAAATGGAAGGTATGTTAAGATTGTCATTCTGTTTGTAACTCATTGAATTGGTCATTTGAGACTCTTCAAAGAATGTGGTGTTTTTTGAAGAAATCGACCTGGATGACTAAAATTTGGCTCGTGATTTTATAATGTCGCCATATTTTATGGGTTTGAAAATGGAATATATCGTTTCCGTATAATGCACTTCCCATATAATCGTGCTGACCGATTTCAGGCACTTAATGGTTTGTACTGTGTTCACCAAATAACTGTGCCTTATATTATTCTATACCTTGATGGGCTTTAGTCAGGGTTTTCAATGAAATTATCTTGGTTTTTGTAGTTTTGAATGGTTTAGTCTTCAATAACCAAGAACGCTGCTAATGCACAATAGCCACTGCCCAAAATTTAATGAAAAACAAAAATATTGGTATCAAATATGATTATATTTACCAGTTAAGCGTTAAACTTCTCTAAAATAAATTTGAAAACAAAACACAAAAAAAGTTATTTGCTTTTTGAAGTAAGATCAGGCATGTGAAAGTAAAATACTATTAAATTAAATACACAGTGTATTGAGAAACCTTATGATGGATATTGAAAATCGAGGTATTCGAATTGACAGTCTTGAGGATGTTATATTGTTTACATTCTTTACAAGTGTGTGTTTTTATACCCTACACCAAACTGTGGTCAGGGTATATGTCTTTGTGCATTTGTTTGTAACATTTGTTTGTGAAGGTGCACATTTTCAGCTGACCTCTTTGGCAATTAAACACGATCATTTTCTTTGTTTACAAACTGCACGAATAACTTTTTCCTGGAAAATTCTCACCAAAATGATCTTGTAAGCTGGTAAACAATAAATGAGCTGTCACTGTAAAAAATTTAGTAGCTGTCGGACGAGTGACTTAGAAATGACAGCAGTCTGAAGTTGCTACCAGTTTTTCATCTCACCCTGTATATATAGCCATATGGTTGAGGGTATAAAAATTTTGAAGAGGTGGGATCTTGCCCCCTCTATACTTTGCGATATAGACAAAACGCCTAAACACATATCTTCTATTTTTAGGTTTACTTTCATAATTTGTAGGAGTTTTCTTGCAATTATTAAAAAAATGTCGCAGAGTGTTATTTCTAAATTTTGTCTTAAATACGCCCCAATCTGTCGTAACATTTGCCCAATGCTTTTTGCCCAAAAATTGACGATGAACACAAAAAAAAATAAATTTCACTTTTCTTCTTATAAAACAAATTTTTAATGACTTATTAAAAAAGAAATCAATGAAAAAAATGAATTGATTTGTATTTTATAAATGATTTAAATTAATTAGAAATTATAAATAATTTAAGCGTATGGACCAGTGCCATCAGAAGTGGGTGGTTTGGCATAGCTATCCTTGACATCGGATGCAGTATTGACTTTAGTTTCTTGTCCAGCGGCGTTGCCAGGAGCAGCAGCGACAACTGGGGCATTCACAGTGGTGGGGACAATCGCCTTGTAAGCGAGAACAGGAGCAACAACCTCCAGAGCAATGGGTTCGCGGTTGACAACGGCATTAAATCCGTTAACGCTGTCAGCAGTGTAAGTAACGGTACGCTTGAAGCCATCGGAATCGATCAAACTGTAGGCACCACGAACATTATAGCCATCTCGGGTTTCCGAGTGGGATTTGATGTCGCCGGTAGTGGGATCGTTGACTTCATAGTTGTAGGCATATTTGGCAGGAGGATAATAGGCGGCAGGGGCAGCAGCGTAGCCATAGTTTGCATTGTCGTATTGATAGTCACCGGAGGCTGCATACGAATCCTCGTTGTATGCTTGGTTGTCGTTATTGGCGACATTGCCGTAAGAGTCAGTCTGCTGGACATTTTTGTTGTTCTGTTGATGCGGCTGCTGTTGTTTTTGTTGTGGTTCGTTAGCTTGTACCCCATTGTAACCGCCATTGCCCTGGTTTTGATATTCATAGTCACCGGCAGCAACCAAGGTGGCCAAACACAATACTGCAACAAACTGAAATTCGAAAAAAAATATTTAAAAAAATCACATCTTCATATTATTCCTTAATTTCGAAAATATGTACCTTAAAAGCCATTTCCTTTTTAATTAATTTTCGGGATGCTCTAAAAATTGTTAAAATCACTTTGGCTCGTTTGCACCACTTCTTGCACTGTGACAACTTGATCGATGGGTGGCCTTTTTATATTCGTCGAATATCATAACTCAAATATTTCTGATTCTCTACTCCAAATTAATTTGGAAATTTGCTTTCATTTCCATTGATTGCCGTGGCTCGTTGACAACAATGACGACAAAAGTAATTCATCTACCACCACCGTCCAGGTGATGCAGCATAACCGTCGATGGTGTCGCATTGCTACCAATGATGACTCTTCATGAGGGTCTTTGTGCGATCGATGGTGTGGTGGTTACATAAACACTAATACGCACCATGGCAAATTCGTCATTATGACGCGGTGTAATTGGTGTTTAAATTGTAACACTTTAATGAGATTCTTTATTGAAACAATTCCATGAGTAAGGTCATGTATGCATGCAGTTGCAGCGCAGATCAAACGAATATCGGAAGATGGCGAGGTTTGGAATGACACCGATTTTAATTAATATGATTTTTTTTTATTTTTAAATGGGACAGTTTTTATGTTTTCCTTTTTTTTTATCAATCGGAGCCAGGTTGACTATGTATTTGCATATATAGGAACATCATCGGTGAGAAAACGTTTGATCTTGACAGCGTGGCGAAGGTGGCCTTTTGGTTTTTATTGGGGTTTGAACGTTGTAAAACAGCACTTCGTTTTGCACCGATTATTTTATTCATTAGGCAAGAACATAATTAACGGATATCCTAATTATATGTCTCTCATAGAGCACATATAAAAATCCTCTCTTTTGCTAATTTTACCATAGACAAAATGATGCATAGACAAAGAAACACTCTCTTATGCTATCATTCAAAAAAATTAAGATTCAGCAGATTTCGTTTATGACGTTCGCAGGAGTTTCAGTAAAAATGATTAGCATTCTGGCTGGTTGGTGCGCACGATAACTTTCGAAGGGACTATCCGATTTGGTCCATACTCGGTACATCGTAATATTATTACCAAACTTTGATCGAGTTCGGAGATGAACAATATCGGTCCACTGTTTCTTATACCTCCCCCACAAAGGGTCATAATTTTTAAAATTCATGAAGCTCATAAAACGCCAAAATTACGTGCGATTTCATTCAGACTAAGATCATATCAATACTTCCATCAACACATGATCTGTTATAAAGATGGCGGAGAACGGACTATTCCTTCTGGTACCTTCCCCAAAAATATTCAACGCTTTGAATAACTAAAACGATTATAAAATCCATGGTACAATAAAAAGGTAAGGTAGAGCTCCCAGCTGATTACAATTTTTTTTTTCTAAGTGTGCCCGACTTCTGCCAATTTTGTGTATGTATTTGTTGTTTTGAAAAATAAAAACAAAACATTTTGAAAATCAATGATTGGAAGAAACTTAAATTGCAGGGCGCGCATTAATAATATTAACCAGATTTGCCCTGGAATTGAAAGATTGAACACGTAGGATCATATTTTTGAGAGAATGTCTAGGCATTTCATTTATCTTTCGCGATATTTGACTCTTTTTTGAAATGATCAAAAAAAAAAAAAAAAATACTAAATAAATGAAAACAACTTGTTGCCCATAATTTTTAATAATTCTGACAGGAAGCGGGCCTAGCCTCAGAGCAGTATTTCTGCAGTTTTACGAAGATGTTCTACCTCCGTATTGTACCATGATAAAATACGAAATAGGTATCCATGAAGCTCATAAAACGCGAAATTAACATCTGATTCATTAATAATCAATAAAAATTCATCTTTAACTACATATTAGTTATAATTAGTTGATTTAATTTTAAACCTACTAAAAATAAAAATGTTTTTTGTTATTATTCCTTCTAAAAATCTAAAACTTTCATTTGATTTGCAAAAAGTTTCATTTCGGTTGCAAAAGGTTTCATTTCCACTACAAAAGGTTTCATTTCCACTGCAAAAGGTTTCAATTCCACTGCAAAAGGTTTCATTTAATCTTAAAATGCTATATTTGCGAACCCTTTCTGGTACCACACCTACAAAGGGTCACCATTTTCAACACTTTTATCTTTCATTATTTGCGAATCAAGTCAGCGATTACTTACACCTTGCTATATCAAAATATTTCTCTCAACCAGAAACCTGAGATGATTATGGAATTTATGATTTCGGCTAAAATTGGATATAAATGTTCGATTTTCTTGCAATTTTGCATATACTCGATGGAATACTTCGATCTGGTACCTCATGCAGATTTTAACATTTTTAAAAATTGTCTCATATCTCATATAAAGTAAAGGAAGTAACAACTATAGTCCAAAACTGGCCAGTCGCAAAATTTATATCATTTTTTAGGTCCGATATGAAACAATGGACAATATTGGCCCATTCCTTCGGAACATATTCCATAAAGAATCAACAATTTGAATAATCATAACTGAAGTCAAAATATATTTAAATAATCGAACATTGGCTGAGGGCATACATCTGTTGACAAAACCGACTGATACTTTTACACATGTTCAGATGTAATTAGAAACATTTTAATTGTAATATGACAATTCTATTTGTAATTCGAATCATTTGATTTTCGAAAATTCCTATCATTTGTAATTCGAAAATTCCAATTGTAATTCGAACTATTTCAAAAAGAGAATTCCAATTCTAATTCGAATTATTCCATTTGTAGTTCGAATTACTCCAATTGTAATTCAAATTCTTCCATTTAAAAATCGAAGAAGAAAAAATTGAAATAATATGAATTTCAAATGTAATAATTCGAAATACAAATAAAATAATTCAAAATACAAATGGAATCATTCGAATTATAAGTGGATTAGTCTATTTACAACTGAAATAATTCGAATTACAAATGGATTCTCGAATTTCTAGTGAAATTGAATCAAAACAAGTTAAAAAGTATCAATCAGTACTGCCGACAGACGAATACCCTCAGCCATTGTTCGATTATTTAAATATATTTTGAATTCTGTTATGATTATTCAAACTGTTGACCTCTATGGAGTGGGTTCTGAGGGAATGGGCCAATATTGTCTATTTTGTATCGGACCTAAATAAATATGATATAAAAATGGGGTAACTTGGTAACAGGTTGGTTACGTCCTTCACTTACATGACACATATGATAATTTTTAGAAAATGTTAACATGTGCGTGAGGTATCAGGTATAGACGACCGAAGTATTCAATTTTCATGCTTCATCTAATACATATAAAAATATTGGTATGGGCAAAATTACAATCATAAATTTCATATTCATCTCAGATTTCTGGCAAAGGGAGATATATTTGTATATAGCAAGTTGTAAAGAATCGCTTATTTGTTTCTCAAGTTATAACAGATAAAAGTATTGAAAATTGTGACAATTTTTGGGTGATGTACCAGAAGGGGTTCGCAGATATATATCATCTTCACAACAGATATTGTATTAGCAAAATCTGTTTGTATGTGAGAAATTTGAAGAGAGTTGGATGCTTATTTTGCTTTCTCTGAGAGTTTGGTTTTTCAAAATCGTGAACCCGTGTGGGGCAGATAGCAAAAGAAAAGGTCCGATCTCTACCTTCTTTATAACAGATATTTTGTTGATGGAAATATTGAGATGTACCAAGTTTGGAATGGAATCGGATGTTAATTTCGCTTTTTATGAGCTTAATGGATATTCAAAATTTTGAACTTTTGCGGGGGAGGTACCAGAATATCCCATCTCCACAACAGATCCTGTGTTAGTAGAAGTAATGGGACGTGTGAAATATAAAGAGAACCTGATGATTATTTCGCGTTTTATGACTTTCATGGATATTCAAAATCTTAACCCTTTGTAGGGGAGGTACAAGAAGGAATGGTTTGATCTCCTGTGTTTATGGAAATATTTAGATGTGCCAAGTCTAAATGGAATCGGATATTAATTTCGCGTTTTATAAACTAAATGGATATTCAAAATTTCGACCTTTTGTGGGGGAGGTACCAGAAGAAGTGGACCAATATATTCCATCTTAACACCAGATCTTGAGTTTAAAAAATATTAGCATGTGTGAAATTTGAAGACAATCGGATTCTTACATCACATTTATAAGAGTTATAATTATTCAAAAATTTGACTCTTTGTTGGATAGGTACTTGATGGAGTGGACCGATATTGTCCATTTTCGCACTCCTTCGACTCCAAATGTCCAAAGCGACCTCGGGTCTAAAACCATTATTTTGATTTGGCACATTTTGACCGTATCAAATAATATATACGAATTACAACTGAAAAGTTACAAACTCAAAAATTTGAATGCCCGAATGTTGCTTTGCCGTATTTTGGTCCATTCCCGGCGAAGCGCTTGCTTGAGGTGATCGACATTTTCTTTAGTGCCAACCTTGCTTTCCAAAATACTCCAGACACAATAGCCCAACGGATTGGTATCCGGAGATTGTGGTGGTCATTATACGATAGAAATTAAGCGAGGAATCTCATTTTGTAACCATTATTGGGTGGCGCGTGCTGAGTGCGACGGTGCTGAGTCCTGTTGGAATGTCCAAGGTCTGTGGCCAAAATGTTTGCGCGCCCAAGGCTTTAATACACATGGCCGGTCCACACAATTACCATGGCCGGCGTTTGAGTTCTGGTGGCCAAAATTTTCAGTTGACCTCTTTGGCAATTAAACACGATCATATTGTTTGTTTACAAACTGCTGTACAACGAATGTTTTCTCATCGGAGAAACCCAAATTCGGCAGCTTACCACTTTAGCCAAGCGAAGCAACTCTTTAGCTCTTTTGAGTCTATTTTCTTTCTGCTGCGGTTTAAGTTTTTGCACTTTTTGGAATTTCAATGGCTTTACCCCGAACTCATTTTTCAATATTTGCCGATATGTTTAGCTCACGAGTCATTTTTCGGCCACTGCGACGCGGGTTTCGATTAAGTCGCTTCTTTACTTTTCGAACCATTTCTGCTGATGTTGCTGTTGCTGATTTCTTCCGTAAACTTTGTTGACGTCGGACTACGCTACCAGTATCACTGTAACGAGTGATGGTACGAGACACAAAAG